TCCTCAATACCCATCACCCACCCTCTCCTCCCTCCCACCCCCCATCAGCCCTCAGTTTGCTCTCAGTTCTCAACAGTCTCTTATGCTTTGGCTGTCTCCCACTCTAACCTCTTTTTTTTTTTTTTTCCTTCCCCTCCCCCCATGGGTTCCTGTTAAGTTTCTCAGGATCCACATAAGAGTGAAACCATATGGTATCTGTCTTTCTCTGTATGGCTTATTTCACTTAGCATCACACTCTCCAGTTCCATCCACGTTGCTACAAAAGGCCATATTTCATTTTTTCTCATTGCCACGTAGTATTCCATTGTGTATATAAACCACAATTTCTTTATCCATTCATCAGTTGATGGACATTTAGGCTCTTTCCATAATTTGGCTATTGTTGAGAGTGCTGCTATGAACATTGGGGTACAAGTGCCCCTATGCATCAGTACTCCTGTGTCCCTTGGATAAATTCCTAGCAGTGCTATTGCTGGGTCATAGGGTAGGTCTATTTTTAATTTTCTGAGGAACCTCCACACTGCTTTCCAGAGCGGCTGCACCAATTTAAGAGCACACTGATCTTTTAAAACTTATTTTTTACTGCACCAATTTAAGAGCACACTGATCTTTTAAAACTTATTTTTTAATGAAAACTAAAATTTCAATCAGCTGAGATTATAGGCCACGTCTACAAGATAAAGACATCTTACCCAAGGTCAGAAAAGAAAGATACACCTACAAATATAGGATGGGGAAACTGTTGTGTAGGAGCAATGCAAGAACAACCCTGTAGGGTTGGAACTGAATACAATTTTAATAGAAGTCTGTAGAGTGACTGTGGCTGCCATAATACTCTCAATAATGGCTGACATAATTTTTTAGCCCACATAAGGAAGATGAAGATGAATTAAATTTTGTTTTGTTTTTTTAGATTCCACATCTAAGTGAGAGCATATGGTATTTGGATTGCCCTGTCTGACTTGTTTCATTGCAGATAATGCCCTCAGGGTCCATCCATGTTGTTGCAAACAGCAGGATATCCTTTTTTGTGGCTGTATAATACTCGTGTGTGAGTGTGTATGTGTGACATTTTCTTTATTCACTCATGAACACTAAGTTGTTTCTGTATCTTTGCTATTGTGAAGAATGCTGCAGTAAACATGAGGGTGCAGATGTCTCTTTGAGGGCCTGGTTTAAATTCTTTTGGGTATATACCCAGAAATGGGATTACTAGATCATATGATAATCCTATTTTTAAGTTTTTCTGAGGAACTTGCATACTGTTTTCCATAGTGGCTGTACCAGTTTACATTGTCTTCAACAGCCTACCCTTGAAAGAGTTCCCTTTTTTCTGCATTCTTGTCACTACATGCTGTTTCTTGTTTTTTTTGATAATAGCCATGCTAACAGGTATGAGGTGATAGCTCATTGTGGTTTTGATTTGCATTTCCCTGATGATGAATGTGCTGGACACCTTTTCATGTACCTGTTGGCCATCTGTATGTTTTCTTTGGGAAAATGTCTGTTTTTTAATCAGTTTGGGATTTTTGCTATTGAGTTCTACAAGTTCTTTATATTTTTTGGATATTCCCTTATTAGATATATGACTTGCAAATATTTTCTCCCATTTGGTAGGTTGCCTTTTCATTTTGTTGGTGGTCTGTGCCGTTTACTGTGCAGAAGCTTTTTCGTTTGACGTAGTCCCAGTTGTTTATTTTTGCTTTTGTTGCCTTTGTTTTTGGTGTCAAATCAAAAAAAAAAAAAAAATGATTATCAAGACTGATGTCAAGGACCTTGCTACCTATTTTGTTTTCCCTAGGAGTTTTATGGTTTCAGGTCTTATATTCAAGGAGAAAATTAAGATGAGAGTTGCCCTAGTTTGTGTTGATCAGATCAAATCTAGAGTATTGTATTTACTCTTGAGGCATCATATTAAGCTCTTAAAAGAATGTTAAAAACCTGAATCTTGGATAATAGGTTGAAAGAAGTAGCATAGAGAACAAATTTTACTAGATGATTTGCCCAGCTTTCAGATTAAATGATTCTGTAGGTGGATACTTTTGCTTCAAGGAAGGAAACTCCCAAGGGAAACCTATCAAGAAGATGTGATACTCATTTAGTTTATAGCATGTTTTTTTCTTTCTTGCTACTGTTATAAACCTATAAGGTTCTCTTTAACATCTTTGAAAAGTTAAGAAGGGAGTCCAATTTGACTGCTTTAAATAATGGATAGACTTCTGTATAGTCTATAGTAAAGTTAATTTATTCTTGTTCCCTTCCCTACCCTCAACCAGTAAAGGATTACCCAAGGATAAGGGGGTGCTATTTCAGGTTGCAGCTGTATATGACTTTGGCCTGTGTTAGATTTATATTGTCCACCTTCTACTAGGGTGATATCACTAGCTCAGCACTTGTATTTATATCTTGTTAATTATCTAGTACTTTCCCAGTCAGAATTTTTTTCTCCCCTCAACCCTCTGGTTACATTTCTATTTACTTTACTCTTGCTATATTTCTTTGTATCAGATTCGTTGAAAAAATTGACACCATCAGGAACACCTTTATCTTCTCTTATAACTTAATCATGCTGCTATATAGTTCATTTCTACCACCCATTTGTTGTTGTGTTTAATTCCAAAGAAAACAATCTCTTTTCAAAGACCAACACTTTTTCTGTGCATTAAATACCAGATCTCTGACCAAAGCACCAAGCTCCGCCACTGAGCACCATCACCATTTGTTCCCCTTTCTTTCTGAAGAGGAGACAAGGCCTCCCCATCTTGAAAAAGCATTTGATTGAGGCCCCTTTTTCTCCATCTGTACCTCTCTCTGTCACTGCAGAACTTTTTAAGCAAATGAGACCCATAAATGACATCATGTTTTCCTTCAACATAAGAGAGAGCGGGTGATATAGTGAGATTGAGTTTAAGAAGTCATGACAACAAGACAACTTTAAAATGCAGTAATCTATGCAGGAAGTAAACTGATATGAGAGAGGAATTGGAAGAGAAGGGGTTACTTTGTATAAACAGTAGTTTGAAATGAAAATTTTGTCTGAGAAGAAAGTTTCAAAATCTTGATCTCTGGGAGAATGAGGAAGTTTAAATGAAGATGTAAAAGCATAAGTAAAGCTTAATCATTGTAAATCTTCCATTTTTAACTGTTTATTACATAATTTTGATTATACCATTTAGACTTTAAAGTGTCATTTTAAAGCAAAATTTGTTTTCTAATGGTCATTGTCAAATTTCAGAAGTCTCCTGTATCTTTTCTCTGTAGTATCAAATGAAGAAAAATAACTTTGACTAGAATATTATATGCATTTCATTGTAGTTGACTCAACAGACATGTTGAATACTTACCATATGCCAGGCACTGTGCTAGGCCCTGGAGATTAAACAGAAGTAAAGTAGGCAGAGCCCTTTCCCTCAGTGAACTCAAGCAGTTTTTAGGGGTAACAGATAATTTAAATTTATCATCGACTTTAAAATAGACTCATTGTGGACGTTATATAGCAGGTTTCCTCCTCACTATTTTTGTCTGTTTTGAAAATTTATTCTGTATTACTTAATTTTCTCTTATTACATGCTATTTTAAACTAATCAACAATAGGATTATTTACTGTGGCCATTAGTAGCTAATTTAAGATTAACATGTCTGGTAAAGCTTCTCTGTATTTTTAAGAAGGTATTTTAGGGATGCCTGGCTGGTTCAGTTGGTGGAGCATGCGGCTCTTAATCTCAGGGCTATGAGTTCAAGCCCCATGTTGGGTGTGGAGATTACTTAAAAGTAAAATCTTCAAAAAAAAAAAAAAAAAGAAGGTGTTTTAGTAATGTATATTACTACCTTTAAAATGGTTTTATCATTCAAATCTTCATATTCTGGTGGAATTTACATTCTGAAAAGAAAACCAAAGGCACAGAGGGAAAAATACATGAATCAAGCTGTTAAATAATTACTACATAAGTGAACACTGAAAGATCACTTTCAGTTGAGTTAATCATGGGAAAGCTTCATTCAGAAGTTAGAGTGAGCGTTCAGTCTTAAAGGATAGGAATGAATGGGGGAGAATAGAATGAAAGTTCATTTGGGGATGGGTTTGGGAGGGGAGCATTGATCACAGAGGTGGGATTAAATATCAATGTCTGTTGAAAAGACACGGATAAATAGGCTTGGCTGGAGTGAAAGGTTTGTATTGGTAAATAGTAAAAGATAAAGCAAAGTCTTTTAACACAATACAGGATTTTGGCTGTACCGTAATAGTAATATGTTCCTATAATCCTAAATTCATTGACCGTTTATTTTAATATTCTTATGTAAAGAGGTTATCATAATGTATAGTTTGCAGTTGTATCATAATTTTGAATAAGTCTTTATTTACACCCCTAAATATGTTCTGTAGATTTGGAGGCCAGAGTCTTTACCCCTACTCAGGTTGAAATGATGTTTTGTTTTTCAGTTACTTACACGCCAAGTCAATCATCCACAGAGACCTCAAGAGTAATAGTATCCTTCCTGAAATTTGTCTGCGAAGTTTGAAAACATCCTGACTTTTTCTTCTGCATTTTGTCTTCACATTATGTAAAAACAATTTTCATGCTAAGTTCAATATATTGTAAAGAGAATTAATAAACGGGTTTGCATGAGAGCATACTGAAGCAGGATACTACCACCTGCTTTTGGTTTCTGAACTTTTGAACATTATCAAAAAAATCTACCCAGTCTTTCTAACAGTAGTACTCTTTTGATTGCGTGCTTCCATTCTGTCAGCTCCATAAAACGGAGAGTTGCGCAGCTGCCCGCTCATTTCTGTCAGTGCTCTGACGCTGCCCCCCAGTGGTGCAGATGTAACTGAAAGTTGTAACTTACGTAACAAGGAGGTGAGAAAGACATATTTTTCCTTCTTCCTCCATAAACCCAGCTCAGGACCCTGTCCGCCAACTAAACTTCATTCCGGTGAAGAACCTTTGTGTCTTTGTCAGCAATGCCAAAAGAATGGATCTGTGTTACTGAAATCTGATGGGAAAGTTTTCACGATTTCCCATAAACTCAGGAAAGCATCTCACCTCACCCTGCCACATTTCAAGCCCCAGAAATCTTAAAAGCAGGTCACATAGGCCAAACAGAACTAATTATTTTTTAAAACATATTTGTCAACTTTAAGAGGAAATAGGAAGAACTGTACTTTTTAAAGGAATATCATTATTACCAAGGAAAGAAAATCATATTACAGGCTTATAGAAATTAGATCTCTTACCTAAAATTTTCATAATGCTTACTTTGATAGGAAAATGAGATCTATTGTTTTCCTTTACTTACTACACCTCAGATATTTTTCTTCATGAAGACCTCACAGTAAAAATAGGTGATTTTGGTCTAGCCACAGTGAAATCTCGATGGAGTGGGTCCCATCAGTTTGAACAGTTGTCTGGATCCATTTTGTGGATGGTAAGAATTGAGGCTGTTTCTCCATTAATGAAATTTGTGGACCCTGCGATGCTGCTGAACTACTAGAAAATCATTGAAGGTTTCATAATGCCCAGTATTCACAAAAATCAATGTTGATCTTATTTTTTATGTAAATAGATTTTAACCTTTTTCTTTATCTTTATAAAAAGTATTATGATACCAGTTTCAGTACATTTCAAACAAAAAATATGTATTTTATAAACTGTTTAAATTTTACCCAGAATTGGCTCTCTAAAATATCTTGTGTTCAAAATGTTCTGTGTACCCTGTTGCAAAAAGAAAAAAACAAGTATGCCATTTAAGCAGGTATGATCTGCAGCAGTTATTAAGGTTTTGCTAAGAGAACTCCTCTTTTTTGAGAGAGAGGCTGTTTCACAATCTTATTTAAGCCTAAATTGGCAAGTACTTCCGTTAGACTAGAAAGAACCTATAATTATGGGGCAGCTGGGAGAGGAAAGACAAAAAAAAAAAAAAAAAAAAAAAAAAAAGGTAGATTTTTAACACTGTCAGCCATGTGCTGCCCTGCATAGCTCTTGCTTTATTCCTATTTCTGCTTTGTTGGAAAAAAGGGAATGAAAACTTCAGTTACTTTCTGCAGGCTCTGAAAAGGGCAGGCATAGGAATCAACCTCTAAGCTAGCCGTTCTTAAAAGGGACTCTGAGACCCTTTTGGAGGTCTTCAAGGTCATCCCTGTGTAAAGCCACATTTGGTTTCATGTTCTTCAGCCAGAAATGACACATCACAACAGATTGAATGCAGCAACAAATATGTGTCTGTAGCTGACTCTGTTAAACCAGTCAAAGAGAATTGCAGTACTGTTCTCACTGAACTGTTTTTGGTTTTGAAAATACACTTTTCATTAAACATGGGTCATCTGTATTAACATCTAATGGCTGTTGTTTTATTATTTATGGAATTACTAAATATTTTAACAGTTTCCCTGTTAGGTTTAAAAATGATAAATACCTATGTATGCCCTTGGGATCTTCAGTAATTTTCAAGACTAAAAGAGGCCTGAGACAAAAAAAGTTTAAGAACCGCTGCTCTCAGCTGAATATAGGGTGTCCCCAAACCATTAGTGCAATTTGAAGGTTTAAATAATTGAATCTGCACAAAGACTTTGGGACACGATGCTGGAAACAGAAAAGCTGCAAGGGCTCTTGAAGCCACATTTGCGTATATCCCCTGAACTATCCATAGCAGTCTCCAGGAAGGGAATTCCAAGATAGATGTCTGAATCAGTGAGGAAAACTTAGGGTTCAATTCGGCTATGATTTCTTGTAATAATAACTGGAGCTAAGGCAAAGTAGCAAGTGGAAGGAGCTCACTGGACTTAGAATTAGGAGATTGGTACTTAAGTGCTCTATTTGACTCTTAGCCTGCATGTTTGTTAACCTCCACCACGTCTCTCAATTTTTAATGTTGGTTGGACTAGTGGATTTCTAATACCTTTTCTGTGTCTAAGATTCAGTAATTAGAGCTAGCTAGGTTTGTGACTTTGATCATTCTAATTGTTTAAAAATCATTATAAACCAGAGGCTAATTAATAATTGTAAACTGGATCTCACGCACCTTTAAGTCATACACCGTGTTACAAGATGGCAGTGTATCCTAGGAAGGGGTGGGCTGGCAGATATTAAGTACTGAAATTATAAAACCTAATATTAAAAAGAAACAATACATGTTTTAAAGGTGTGTTGATCTTAACTAGTGTGGAAGAGAGGCTCAGTTAAATCTCCAGGTTTGTCCTTTTTTCAAAAACCGTAGTTTTACACAGTTAGTAGATTATTATACATAAAGTGTTACGTTTTCTTCTAATTTCTTTTTTGTTGATACCTAGGTAGATTGGTTCATCCTTTGTTCCATCAAGCTGAGTTCTAATACGAGAGTAGCCAATAGTACACTTAATTATTGAATAAATCCTTTTGGGTTGATAGTGCCTTCAGAAACAAATATGGAACATCCGTAGACAAGAGAGAAGAGTTGGGTCAGGACTAAGGTTATGTAATTCTCTGAACTATTTACAATAGTCTTCTCAACCTTGTTTTATTTATCGTAGAGGGGAAAGACACCTTTGTGAAAATTTTTACAAATTAAATCATTAAATTAATTGAGGATCTTAAATCACTAAATTAATTGAGGATTGATTATGCGTTTCTTGTAAATAGATGACATACAACTTTACATCAAGCCATCTACCAACAACAGTGAGGTAAAACTAAATTTTAAAAAGACATTTAGTTCCTCAACTGATTTATTACTCTCTTCCTCTCAAAACTGTGTTCTGGCTTTTCAGATTGTGTCTATCATAACCAGCCTCTCAGTATTCTGGCTTGTTCACTATAGCACAGTTGTATGTGGTTTATTTTGTACTATATTACTAAAAGCAGTTAGTAAGATGTTTGACCAACGTAAGTAGATAGTCTTCTTCTACGCCCCCATCCTTCCATCAGGGCCTCCGTACATCGACCAGTGGTTCTCAACCTTGGTTAGACATTAAAATCATCTGGGGAACTTAAAAAAAACAACAGTGCTTGGATCCCCTCCCCAGATTCTGTTCTAGATTGTAGTCTGGACATTGAGAGGTTAAAGTCTATACAGGTGATTGTGATTTTCGGGTGAGGCTGAATGTCATTGCCTGCCTTTTGAGAGAGTCTGACTGGCCTTACCCTGACCTGTGACCAGGAATCTTGTTCCAGGTCTTCCAGCCATTTTTGCAGTCAGTCCAGGTTTTGGTATCAAAGTAACGCTTTCACAAGAGTTTTTATTTATACTCTGCAATTTCTCTAATGAGACAATTCTTCCAAATGAAACAGAACAGAAGATGCAAGGTGAAGTAATTCCTTTAAGCTAATATTTAACTGACCATCTATTGTATTTTATGTAAACAGCCAAGAAGAAATTAAGTATTAGAGTACAGTGAGTGAAATGTGTAAAAATGTAGCAAATATGCTTTGGTCTATAGCTTTTCCCAAGAAGCAAGCAGCCAAGATTCTTTATACCATCTTCTAAGTCAACCTGCTGTCTCTTGCTTTTGTTAATAAAGCATCCATGGCATGTTGACAATGCTTTTGGAGGCAGGAGTTTTACCAGTATTCTCTAAGGTGCCCTGAGACGAGGAAAACCATTGTACCAAGGGGGAAAACCAAAATTCTAAGGCAGTTACCATAGTGGTTGTGCTACTCCCAAACATGAACACAGATCTAATATTTCTTTACTGAATCAAGAATGGGAAATGGGAACTGATTCTTGATAGGACTAGTCCTGGGAAGGATTCATATAGCAATGACAGGATTTTGTGCTGAAAGAGGATGGCTGATAAAATTATAAAATCTTAGTAATGCACATGGAATCTCGGGTAATACCACCTCTTGCAGAGTTTACCAGGCATTTTTCTTCTTGATCAGTTCTACTTCTTTGCCCATTAATAAGAGAATTGATTGCATATTAGATGAATTATTTAATGACAAAAGCATTGTTCTGGGAATTTTAATCTGCTTTTCAGTCTATTCAGTTGAAGTTGAAGAGTAAACAAGAATATTTGTCTTTTTGTGTTCTGACAGGCACCAGAAGTAATTCGAATGCAAGATAAAAACCCATATAGCTTTCAGTCAGATGTATATGCATTTGGGATTGTTCTATATGAATTGATGACTGGACAGTTACCTTATTCAAACATCAACAACAGGGACCAGGTAAATCTTTACCATCTCTTGGGGTTTATTTTACTATATGTATAAAGAGTCCAGTTTGGAAGCAACTGTGTGGCTCAGTCGGTTAAGTGTCCGACTTCGGCTCAGGTCATGATCTGGAGGTTTGTGAGTTCAAGCCCTGCAACCGGCTCTGTGCTGACAACTTGGGAGTCTGGAGCCTGCCTGCTTCAGATTCTGTGTCTCCTCCTCTCTCTCTCTGCCCCTTCCCTGATTGTGCACCTTCTTTCTCTCTCTCTCTCTCTCTCTCTCTCTGTCTCTGTCTCTCTCTCTCTGTCTCTCTCTCAAAATTAAATAAAAAAAATTTTTTAATTAAAAAAAAAGAAAGACTCCAGTTTGTTGCAAGAAAAGAAGCGTTGAGTCCGGGTAGGCGTGAAAAATAGATATCTTGATCTTTGTTACCAGTTTTGGAAACTTTTGGTATACTCTCAGCAATAGTAGCTGCGTGTAAGGCCTCTCCTTGAAAGCTCAGTGCTAAGTGTTGTAATGGAGTATAGCTCCTGATGTTCTGACTAGAAGCTAGAGCTGCAGCAGTGGGTGTTGGTCACATCTCTTGACCGAGCTCGGCTAGAAGGAGGCGCTGCCGCTGCAGCGACTGGGCTTTATGCCGCCTCTCTGTTCCGTCACGGCTTGTGCTAAGCAGCCTGGCTGTGCTGTTCTTCATATCGGATTCTTGTGAAATTAGTACGGTTTCTCCCTTTTGTTAACTAGGTAAATGGAAAGACTTATTTCATGCTTTCCATTTTTCTAGAAGGAGAATTCTAATAGGAAATTTTTGTACTTATTTCTTCCTAAGTTCCTGTTCTCTGTCCTTTACCTCCCCCCTGCTCCCAGTACCCAACTTAGCCTCAGGCAGCTCTTTGCCTTTTCTGTCCCAGCCACATGAAATTCACCAGGACTTTGACACTAACCAAGAAAATGAAATTGTCTTTACTAAAATTATCTTGTATACCTCAGTATGTAAAAAAGTGTGTGTGTGTGTGTGTGTGTGTGTGTGTGTGTGTGTGTGTGTGTGTGGAGAGAGAGATTGCAGCAATTCCACCATTAATATATTTAAAAACAGGGGCTCAGTTAAGCGTTTGACTTTAGCTCAGGTCGTGATCTCACGGTCCGTGAGTTCGAGCCCCGCGTCGGGCTCTGTGCTGACAACTCAGAGCCTGGAGCCTGCTTCAGATTCTGTGTCTTCCTCTCTCTGTGCCCCTCCCCCACTTGTGCTCTGTCTCTGTCTCTGTCTCTCTTTCTCTCTCTCTCTCTCAAAAATAAATAAGCCTTTAAAAAAATAAAAAATAAAAACAATAGTTGACCATATAAACTATAAATAATACTTATACTTTGTACTGTGGTTTGCATCAGCATTACTTGAGTAAGGGCTCCTGGGTATTTCAGTTGGTTAAATACCCAACTCTTGATTTCAGCTCAGGTCATGATCTCACAGTTCATGAGATTGAGCCCCACATTGGGCTCTGCACTGACAGCTTGGAGCTACTTGGGATTCTCTTCCCCTCCCCCCTCCACCTCTCTCTCTCTCTCTCTCTCTCTCTCTCTCTCTCAAAATAAGTAAATAAACATTGAAAAGAAGAAGAAGAATTACCTGGGTAATTTGTTTAAAAATAGAGATACTAGAGCAGATTCTGATTCCATGGAGTGAAGTCCAAGCACTTGCATTTTTAATAAGTTTGCCAGGTGATTTTTATACATACCGAAGTTGAGAATCCCCAATCCAAAGAATAAAAAAAAATCCAACAGTGTGAATGTGGTATGTGTTTTATCATAAGCTCTCAATCTAATGAAATGATAGTTTTTAATTTATAAATGTGTTAACTTCATGTAAGTAGTGTGTGTGTATGTGTGTTGGTCATCAGTTCAACTCTCCATCTTTTTGGTAATAACTCTGAGTATCTTTCTCTCTAAGAACTTCAGCTAGTATGTGATTTCAGAGAAGTAGTCTCAGTTGTCCTGTACTTTGTGGATACTTGCTGAGTGACCAGATGGCCCCTTACCCAGAGTGCTCTGGATTCTATGTAGATGAAAAAAATGATTTAAATGACTGTTTCTACCAAGGTCAGCACAGAGCTAATTGGTTAGTTGCTGTTTGGTCTTTCTAACTACTACATAGCTCTTGAACGTTGAATACTACCTTTGAGTGTTAAAAAAAATCTGTGACCTGATTCCTAATTACCTGACATTTTAAGCCCTGCATGAAGCATAGATTCAAGATAGACCAAACTACTAGCGAAGGAGTGTAGTTGACCCATTGCACTCATTGGACTTGTGACAGATTCTAGATCACTGAGATGATTGATTGGATGATGGCAATCTGAGTAGCAAGGTTGGTTCTAATTTGCACACTTCCTGTCTCCTGCCTCCTACAGTCCTATTCATTCAACCATAAGACATAATACCCTGTGCCATGTTCACTTTTCCTTTGCATATTACTTTTCTACAAGGGAAAAGGGAACTTTACAAGGGAACTTTAGTTTTAGTTGATTTATCATAGAGACCACAAATAAAAATTTATGAATCTAAGATCTGCATGAAATCCAGTGAATACTTCTGTTTTAATAAAATAATACATTATGGAAATGGGTATTATTATCTCCAAAATATGGATAAAAAGCAACCCAGAGTTTTGCACTCATCCACTTCTTGGCATTTTAGGTGCTTTGTCTTCCACAGGAGTATAATAAATGATGTGGCAAGGGCTTACTCTCCATAAGAGAAGTAAGTGAGTGACCAACAGAAGGGTAAGGCCTTTACTGGTTAATTCTGTCTGGTAGTAAGAACCTTCTGGAATTTGCCAGTCTGAAACCAGGTTGAATATTTGATAAAGAAAAAAGAGGGCGCCTGGGTGGCTCAGTCAGTTAAGTGTCTGACTCTTGATCTTGGCTCAGGTCATGATCTCGCAGTTTGTGAGATCGAGCCCCACTTGAGGCTCTTTGCTGACAGCAGGGAGCTTCCTTGGGATATTCTCTGTCTGTCTGTCTCTCTCTGCCCCCTACCTCAAAATAAATAAATAAACTTTTAAAGAAAGAAAGAAAAAGGGGGTCAAAGAATAATATATGCACTATCCCTCACCCCTATTCTATTTCATTACTTCTTGTCTGCTTTCTTCAAATGGCACTTTCCATGGAAGTCCCTTTTGGGAATTGCTAATTCTAGTCATCTTCAGTGACGTAACCCCAGCTATTGCTCCGTCTGTCCCCTTGATTTGATTTTTCTTTTTCTCTCGAACTTTCATCACCATGGCTCTCAGATTGTACTTCTGTTTGAAAATTTAGGAATATTCTTCTTTCTCGTGGGAGATAGGACATCTCCTTCTTTACTACGCACTGTAGGAACTGTTCCTGTGTACTCTTCCCCCCATAGTCTCGGGTGGCAGGTTTTGCCTGTAAATTTAAAGCAGGACTCTGGTTAAGAAACTCAGTGTAATGGCCGACCTTGGACTCATGACCTGGTCACTTTACCTCTTCAGGTGTCTTTTTTTTTTTTTTTTCAGTTATAAAAATAAGAAATTGCACTAAAGAATTCGTTCTGGTTGTAAAGATCAGATTCTTTCCTAGAGCAGTTCTCTTAGCGCTTCAAGGGATGGCCATCGTATAGCATGCCTTTTGCTTTCCTTACTCTAGTGCTGAAATCTAAGAAATTGCTGTCATTTTTTTTCTCCCTCTTTATCCTTCCATTTTGCTCTCTAATCACCCTGCTCTTTCCTCTTCCAGTGCAGCTTTTCTACTGAGTTGGGATTAATAATGCACTCATTTAGGCTACATGTATTGACTCTCTGTCCTCATGGTTTTCTTTTCTTGGAGTAGAAGTGCTGTGTCATCTTAGAAAAAATAACAACTAATTTTTATCTGTTATTTTAAGTACTGTTATTTAAGTCTGTTATTTCAGTTACTGTTGGTGTATAACAAACCACCCAAAACATAGTGGCTTAAGCAAATTATGAATCTGCAGTTTGGACTGCTTTCAGTGAGTAAGATTTATGTCTGTGTCACATTGTGTTGCCTAGGGTGCATTCATTTGGGTGTTAAAGGATCCACTTCCAAAATGGCTCATTCGTACCTCTGACAAGGTGTGGTGCTAGCTGTCTGCTGGAAGCTTGGTCAGGGTGAAGGGCCAAGGGCTTTAGTTCTTGTCGACATGGACCTTTCTATGGGGACGTCTTCTAGAAAGTGTGGACTTTGTTAGAGCCTGGTGGCTAGGTTCCAAGCACAAGCTCTCAAGAGATACAAAATGATGAATACCAGTATCTTACCTACACTACAAATTATTTCAATAAGAAATTTTCAAAGCCTACTATATGCAAAGCACTATGGGATATAAAGGAATACAAAGATGAATAATACACAGGCCATGCTTTTGGTAGAGTTTACCAATCTGTTGAAGCAGTGCAAGGGGAGGGGGTGATGAGAATGAGTAGACATTGTGCTCCAGTAATACAGAGGCACGAATCAAGGGGTGGAGGTGCCAGGAGTGCTGAATGTGGATTGAGAATGGGAATAACCAGTCAGTTCCAGAATTTCAAATTGAACTGCTGATTTTATCTTTTATGTGCCCCTTAAATCTTCTGTACATGAATTACATCCTGGAGAGTCTTCCCTTTAAGTTTAAGTAATTGCAAAGAATGTGATTTCCTTTGTATTATATTTTTTCAAAGTTTGATACGGCTCTTTTTTAAACATACTTTTATACTTTCAAGCCTTTTATTGATCATTCAAATAACATCTCTGCAACAAAAAATACGTATTTAAATTTAGAATTACAAAAATCTTTCCTGTGACTTTAGTCTTTGAAGGTTAATTTTTTAAATTCTGAACTATGCTTCTATTAATGAGTATTAATACATAACTGATTAAAATAATGTAAGTTTTGGTATATAGAAATAAAGAAGGTAAAATTTTATTGGAAATGTGTGTCTTAATGAACATATGGGGCTTTTCTCTTCAGTTCATTCATGTATTTGTGGATAAATAGGCTTTTGCTGAAATGAGAAAGAATTAAGCACTGAGCAGTATTGTTCAGGTAGCTACAAAGATGGGAAAGTCAGGGATTTGTTGTACCCACATGCACAGTTCACTGGTCCCCAAGACCACACTCAGACTCAGTCGCTCATTAAGTTTGAGAACTCGCTGTAGGTTGTTAATGCTTACAGTTATGGTTTAGTGCAACAGCAGGATACAGATTAAAATCAGCCAAGGGAAGAGGCACATAGGGCAGAATCCAGGAGAGTTCCACATGTGGAGGTCACAGTTGTCTTCTCCCAGTGTAACTGTGGACCGCACTGAATTCTCTCGACAGCAGAACACTGCCAACCACAGAGACTCTCTTAAGTCCAGAGTTATCACTGGGGCTCTGTCAGGTAAATATGGTTGACTACCTCTGTGGCTGGCCTTAGTTTTCAAGCCCTCTGGAAGTCAAACTGGTACTATATGACTCAAAGTCCCTTCCAAAAGCCCCCAGGTAAATAAACAGAAATACTCTCATCAGGCAGGACATTCCAAACTTTTAGGGATTATCTCCTAGGAGCCAAAGGCAAAGGCCATCCCTTTTTCTGGGCAAGATAAATTCTTTACCGTACACCATATCACTCAGTTAAAACTCATGTCTATAATGTACCAAAAAATTGCATAATATCTTGTCACTGAGTTTTGTAATCAGCTGACGGTTCAGTTAATTTTACTGAGAGCAAAGATTTGGAAACTAGCTGTCTTGCAAAGGTATTTGTTACCCATTCATGAAAGCCCTGTTAAATACCAATAGTGTCCCTTTGGTACCCCAGCAGTTTTACACCTTGGTGCAATGTGTACTATCGTTACATTGCATGTGGGTAAAAAAAGTATGCTTTTTACAAAGCGGGAGTAGGGCAGTTCTGCCAGGGGAGATGGAAGGGTAGCTGCACACTTGCACCGCGTGGTCCTCGAGCACATCTGCTCTCGGGTCAGCACCGGTTCTTACAGCACTGAACAGGGACTAAGAGCAAGTTAAGAGACCAGGCTCGACTATTCTAAAGTTTATAAGCTCCGGCCTGTAACAAGGGATCTCTTACTGGCTGTCCACCTAGCCACTAGGCTGTCCGTTGGAACTGTTCCCTCTAAGATCAAACCCCCCCTCTCTCCAAGACTTCTGATGTCTGTCTCTGCCCATTATCAAAAGAGCTGAAAATTAGAAAGTTAAGAAATTGGAAAAATTATAAATCTCTGCACCCAGGGAAGACAAGCCTTTTTACTTTATTAAACAGAAAATTTCAGTTCCCAGATGGTTTACCTTCTTTTCTTTGGAGGAGGCTGTGATTCTCATATCTACATAACTAAATGCCCCATATCACCCATTTCCTCAGCAAACAAATTTAAAACGCAGATGCCAAAACACCTGCTAAAAAGGTTAACGTTTTTTAGTTCCAGCTACATATATATAAAGGACTCAGTATGATGCCCAACAACGACTCAGTAAAATACTCAAGTAGAAAAGAGGCACAGCCTGATCTGTGTCTCATGATTGATTACCCTGGCAGTGGGAAATGGATTGGGGAAGGAGAGACCAGAGACCTGGGGAGCGATTAGCAGACCTTTACGACAGTCCATGGGACATGATGTTTTCAGTTGACGGCCCGTGCAGTGTCGGGTCCCCACGATAAGATGTGTGAGAATCAGATTACTAGCGTTGTGTTTCTTAACTTTTTATTAAGGGAAAATGTACACGCAGAAAAGTACACATAAATGTGCAGCTTGTTGAATTCTCAATGTTGGAGTATTTTTCAATTTATAAGTGAAGTTGTCTGATTTGTTTTTTTTTATTCCCTCCCCAGATAATTTTTATGGTGGGACGAGGATATCTTTCTCCAGATCTCAGTAAGGTACGAAGTAACTGTCCGAAAGCCATGAAGAGATTGATGGCAGAGTGCCTAAAAAAGAAAAGAGATGAGAGGCCACTGTTTCCCCAAGTAAGAAGAAGCTTGATGTTACCTAAGAGGACAGACTAATACTCAGATGCAGATTTTTAAATACTTTCAGGGGCACACAGTTTTGTGTTTTATGGATTTGGATGCCTTGTGATCATGTGCGGGCAGCAGAGAAGTAATTGCACAGAGATGATTTTATAAAGGTTGAACAGTGGTACATCTAGAAACCTGGAATCCCAGGACAGAATATTCAGAAAGACTTGACTTTGGTCTAGCAGTTTTCAAACAAAAATTTTTGGTCTCACACACTTAAAAATTATTGAAGGCCCCCCAAAGAGCTTTTGTTTATATAAATAGTAATTGCCATTTTAGAAATTAAAACTAAGTTTTAAAAATGTTGATAAGTTTATTTAAGCGTAATAAAACCATTACATGCTAAATAACATTTTTATGAAATTAAAAAGAACTACATTTTCCCCACCAACAAAATTAGACGAGTGGCATTGTTTTACCTTTTTTGCAAATCTCTACAAAAAGAAGACATCTGGATTCTCTGCATTCATTATGCTGCAGTACCTTCCACCGTGTAGCTTCTGAAAGCGCCCTACACATTCCAAGCTTCCCTACATACTGGGTCTTTTGGAGGAACGTTTCCACCTGGAGCAAAAAGAAAAGGCAGCTGTTGGTACTGTCTGCCTTTCTCTGATTCTTGGAAAATGACTATCACTTTTGTCTCTTCCTGTTATAAGGCTACAGCCCTGAAGTTCACATAAATAGCCCTGATAGCACCACATAAATAGGTCTTGATAAATCAATACAGTTTGCAAGTGGGAAGTGCTAACTCCCTTAATTATCCAGCTACTGTAATCACGGAGTTGGTCTTTTGTGAACCTTCTGCCCTTGAATGCACAACGCTAGCTGGGTCTCTTAGACAGAAGTCACTGTTACAGGAGCTAGTGGATCTTTTATGCCCATCTAAAGAATTAAAGACCCAGGGCACCTGAGTGACTCAGTTGGTTGAGTGCCCAACTTCAGCTTGGATCATGATCTTGCAATTTGTGGGTTCAGGCCCCACGTTGGGCTCTGTGCTGACAGCTCAGAGCCTGAAGCCTGCTTTGGATTATGTGTCTCCCTCCCTGTCTCTCTGCTCCTTCCCCACTCACACTCTGTCTCCCTCTCAGAAATAAACAAACATTAAAAAAAAAAAAAAGAAAGAATTAAAGACCAGGGCGCCTGGCTGTCTCAGTGGAACATGCGACTCTTGATCTCAGGGTCATTAGTTCAAGCCCCACGTTGGGCGTGGAGCCTACTTAAAATTAAAAAAAAAAAAAAAATTTTTTTTTAAATAAAGAATTAAAGATAGAATTTATAATTTGAACATATCTCTCAGGGGCTGCCTCAGCGTGGGTAGATCTAGGTTTTACGTATTGGAATTCTAAGTTACTATTTTGAGGAAGAGTTTTTTTTTTTTTTTTTAACCCAGAAAACCACTGGTTGAAGATATCAAAGTAAAAGGACCAGTGCTGTTGGCCATTGTCAGCAGGCCTCCTATACCATGTTCTCATTTCATATTCCAGGTGCCAGAGCTTCCTGTTTAACCTGCTTGGTGTACATTAATAATGCAAATTATATCCATAGGACCACTTTTTTTTTTAAGATTTTCTTTTTTTAAGTAATCTCTACACCCAACATGGAGCTCGAACTTAACAACCCCAAGATCAAGTTGCATGCTCTACCAACTGAGCCAGCCAGGTGACCGACCCACTTTCTGAGTGGTATTAAAAGGGACAAAATGTTCATATTTCTTTTTTTTTCTTTCAAAATGTTCATATTTCTAAATATAAGTAACATTTAATTCCTTGCATGATATCAGAAAATGAAATGCATATCTGAACTTTTCAGATTATTGAAGGCTACCTTAAGTACTGTTTTTAATTTTTCATTACAGGATCTCTTTTCACACTATACAAAAACATAAATTTTAAATGGCTAAAGATTTATATGTAGAAAACAAAACCTTAAAATAGGAAGTCATTTTTTATAACCTTGAGATAAAAGTCTTTCCTTATAAGCAAGAGACAAAATCCAGAAATTATAAAGGAAAACATGAGCATGTCTGACTGCAATAAAAGTTTTTATACTTCTGTATAATAAAAATAATATTGAAAGGTAAACATAGAAAAATAATTGTAGCATATATATAATAAAGTATAAATACTGGTATTATATAAAGGCCTCCTACAAATCAGTAAGTAAAAGATAATAGAAAATGAGCAAAGGATATGAACTGGTGAATCATAAAGAAATACAAATGGCGAATGAACTTAGGATGTTAAAAGTTCTGGGACAGTCAGTAAAATGTAGAGTAACGGTGAAATACATTTTGATTTTCTCTCTCAGATTGACAATATCCAGCATTGGGAACGATGTTGGGAAGTAAGGAAGAGCCTTCCTTGTAAATTTTTTAACAGTGTTGTTGGGAATGTAAATTGGTTTGGCCTTTTGAAAGGACTTGCTAGAATTCATAAACTTAAAATATATATACTTTGTGCTCTGGTAATTCCACTCCTGAAAAGGTATACTACAGAGCCTGCTTCCACAAGTGTTCAGATACAGACAAAAATGCTTACCATTAGGAAAAATTAAAAATCAAGGTAGCTCTCTAGATGGCATGGATGTTAGGGAGGGGGAAAAAAAAGAAAGCAATGCAGAAAAATATGTATAGAATGATACCACTTTAAATGGTGATGAGGGTGGGGATGGGCTCTGTTTTCATATGTGCATGTTTATGCATAGGAAAGGTCCAGAAGAAAGTATAGACTCTTTAACAGTGGTTACCCCTGGAAGGTAGGACTTATACTTTTTCTGTATTATTTGAATTTTTATTTGTGTGTTATGCTTGTAATTTAAAATGTTTTGTAACATTGCTTCTTTGCCTTATACTAATCATTATACAGATTATAGTTTAACTTTTAAAAAAGTTTTGGTGGCTCAGAAAAATAATAGTGATGGCTGCTAAAGTTTTATTGAGTACTTACTATATATTCTAGGCATTGTGCCAAGCCTTTTACACATGTCTCATGATTATGAACATCTGTTATTATACTGTATGCCTTCAAAGTCATAACCTGTTTCTTTGTACCTTAAAATATGCTGAGTTTCTACATTTTGTGGATTGGTGTCTATTTGTTGTTTTCCTGTCTTCTCCTTCACTCTTGGATTGTCACCTGTCACTTCTCACTCCTGTGCCACTAGCAGTCTGGGTCATTGAGACCCTCCTTTTAATCATGTATGTGTAAGACATTTCCTATTACTGAGTTTCGTAAAGAATGAGTTGCTCTGATGATTCTGTTTGTGAAGCCATATAGTGCTTTACTGATTTATGCTCCTTCTTCTTCCCAAAAGGGACTGTGGTCTGTGGGATAGGTATATAATTGGTTTAAAATTTTGTATTATTTACTGTTCCAAGGCTGGCAAATAATCTAAAATGTAAATAAAAGCTAACTATAGGTTACTTTCCCCATTTATTTTACAGAGATTAAAGCCAATGGAGTTTGGTAATAATCTTTTCTTTGTAAGGAAAAAAATACCAATTTCTTAAGCATTTAGGATAATACTCAAAACAGCGTAAGATTTCAGGTGCTTTCTTGTTAAGTATGATGCGGATATTAAAGATTAACACCACCTAGATTTTCATTCTACTTTTTTTCTTTTTTTCTTTTTTTCTTTTTTTTTCCCTTTTTTAGATTCTTGCCTCTATTGAGCTGCTGGCCCGCTCATTGCCAAAAATTCACCGCAGTGCATCAGAACCCTCCTTGAATCGGGCTGGCTTCCAGACAGAGGATTTTAGTCTCTATGCTTGTGCTTCTCCAAAAACACCCATCCAGGCAGGGGGATATGGTGCGTTTCCCGTCCACTGAGATAAGTTAGATGAGTGCGCGAGTGCAGGGGGCTGGGGCCAAGGAGGTGGAAATGTGCGTGCTTCTGTACTAAGTTGGATAGCATCTTCTTTTTTAAAAAAAGATGAACCAAAGAATGTGTATGTTTTTAAAGACTAGATATAATTATTTCCTGATCTAAAATGTATACTTAGCTTTGGATTTTCAATATCCAAGGGTTTTCAAAATGCACAGACGTTGCTGAACATTTGCAGTACCTCTTCTGGAGGCTTTACTTCCTGTTACAAATTGGTTTTGTTTACTGGCTTATCCTAATTATTAAACTTCAATTAAACTTTTCTCCTGCACCTTTTGTTATGAGCTATCACATGTCCCTTAGGGACTCACAAGAGCAGTACTGCCCCCGTGTATGGGCTTGCAGGTAGAAAGGGGATGACAGGTTTTAACGCCTGTGTGAGGCAAGGCAGTGCGAACAGATCTCATTTAGGAAGCCACGAGAGTTGAATAAGTTATTTTTATTCTTAGTATTTTTTCTATAACTACTTTTTATTATAACTTGGAAAATATGGATGTCCTTTATACACCTTAGCAATAGACTGAATTTCTTTTTATAAATTATGGGTGCAGGTAACCAAAGACATTGCTGAGGAGTGGATGTCTGACATGAGTACTATGGTTGAAGCTTGGATTTTTAGTGGACAAATGTTATAAATTGAGGTTCCTTTTAAGTAGTATTTCCTCATTACTAAAGGTGTCATATACACATGGAAGGTGAATTTCCTTACAAATGCATTGCCTCCTCCTCCCCCAAAAAAGCTTAACAGAATTCTGTGAAAGTTTTGGGTTTGTTTGTTTAGATGTCTTTAGTTGCCAAACAGCAAGGTCACAGACTTCTTAAATATTGTTACTTCAGATTATACTTCCCTCTCATGCCTATTTTAACAATCCCCTTATCCATGTGTCTCATAAAATTTGTGTTCCGTATGTTCTTTGCCCAGAAAGGTTCTTCTTCTTATGAATGAATGCTATTCTTTTTTTAATCCCATGGTACGAAGTATTTGTTAGAGCTAATACTTAACATTTTCTTATGTAAAAAATGGCTGTATTGTGGCAGTCATTAATATTCTTATTGTGAACCAAAATCTTACTGGAATCAAAAGTGAAAGAGGCAGTATTGCTGGCATCTTATCAAAGAGATTACCATCTCTACTTGTGAGTCATTGCCAAAAGCCAGCCTCTTAAATACATTTTCATTTATTCGGTTTGGAACTGTGATGATTTTTAAATATAACGGACAGTTCAGGGTTATGCAGGCACACAGACAACATCTGCGTAAATACCATCCTTTGAAGCCAATAAAGAAGAAAATTGGGAAGACTTTAATGATATTTTAGTTCTTAGGTACCACAAATAAGTTTTTAAAATACTTTCTTGGGACGCCTCGGTAGCTCAGTCAGTTAAACATCAGACTCTTGATTTCGGCTCAGGTCATGATCTCACGGTTCGGGAGTTTGAGCCCCGTGTCAGGCCCTGCACTGACGGTGTGGAGCCTGTTTGGGATTCTCTCCCCCCCTCTCTCTGCCCCTTCCCTACTTGTGCTGTCTCGCTCTCTCTCTCAAAATAAATAATTAAAATAAAATAACTTTCTAATTTGAATGGATGAAATTTCGTCCAGGAAAACTACCCAGTGAGAAGCATGGCATACCTTTGGCCCCTTATTTGGGCAGTTTAAGACAAGTAATACCATTCATGTTATTCAAAATGGATTCATGCCTTTCAATTTAGGCAAGAGTAGTGGAAAAGAACATTTCTCATGTTTTCAAAAATAAAAATGAGAAAGGCATAAAAGAATAGAGCATGTTGGAAAACATTCAAGTGTGGGATTTCCAAATCCTCTAGTGACATTAAAGATGTGATTAGTAGTGGGGCGCCTGGGTGGCTCAGTTGGTTAAGCGTCCGACTTCGGCTCAGGTCATGATCACGTTGGGTTCTGTGCTGATAGCTCAGAGCCTGGAGCCTGCTTCGGAATCTGTGTCTTCCTCTCTCTGCCCCTCCCCTGCTCGCTCGCTCTCGCTCTCTCTCAAAAATAATGAATAAACATTAAAAAAAATTTTTTTTTAAAGATGTGATTAGTAGTAATTACTAAATGGGGTTTTATTTATCACAAATTGAATAGCAAGCATGTAGCTGATAAAGTTTTTACATTGGTCTGTGGAATGCTCAAAGCTTTGGAAAGCATTTTAAGGCACAGGAATCAAATGATCTTTATATTGATACAGTTCTTTTTATAGTTCTTCACTATACTTGCTTCACTCATATTTTCTTTTCTTTGCTCACCGTTTTTTCCCGACTACCCCCTTCACTGAAAACTACCCAGCAACCCCACTGTCTGCCTTTGACTCCATTCAGTCTCCTCTGCCAGAGGGCATTGCTGAGCTCTTCCAGCCATAGCGCTGTCTCACACTCTCCATTGTGCCTCCAAAGGGTCACCTGATAGCTCTCTTGTATTCAAACCCGGCCCCCTGGACGTGTCGTGGAAGAACATGAAAAATCTGGCAGAGCGAGATGTTTAGAAAGCGTGGATGCAGAGGAGTAGGGAGCATTAGAATGACATATGGTAGTCTCCTTTTCTGTTCTTTTATGCTGAATTGTAGATGCTTTCTCCAAATAAAGAAAAATACCGTTTTTCTAACCATATGTGGAATCCACCTCTCTGACTAGGTAATTGAAACAGAAGGACATTCGTTCTCTTATGACCTGCTCTTTTTCTTAAAACCTGAACCCTCAGATATTTTTATTAAAGTTGATTTCCTTTTTCAGCAGACAGGCTTTTTATAAAATTTGTTTTACATGTTAGGCATTTTACTAGTCAAGTGGTGAGGACTAAGATTTTTCATCTTGATTTTTAAGTAGTTGAGGGATCACAGCATTTAATCAAATACTTTAGGTTGTTTATTTTCAGATATTAATATTGTACTAGGCATTTACATACTAAAGCATTAGTTACAATCATCCTCTTGGGGGCGCCTGGGTGGCTCAGTTGGCTAAAGGTCCCACTTCAGCTCACGTCATGCTCTCACAGTTGGTGGGTTCGAGCCCCACATTGGGCTCTGTGCTGACGGCTCAGAACCTGGAGCCTGCTTCGGATTCTGTGTCTCCCTCTCTCTCTGCCCCTCCCCTGCTTGCGCGCGCTCTCTCTCTCTCTCTCTCTCAAAAATTAATAAACATTACAAATATTTCTTTAAAAATCATTCTCTTTAAATAGAGACCATGTAACACAGCAACTTAAATGGCCTCTGACTCAAGTGAGTCGCTCTCGATGTAAGGAAATGAACTGCCTTTGTTGCTTAATATTATGAAACGGGTACTTTATGGCTAAAACATTTTATCAGTTACAGTCTGTTAGATTGAGAATTATTGAGTATTTCTATAGCACTTGTTATTTTATTAAATACTTCATCTCTCCTGTGATAATTTCTCTTAAGAATTTAACAAGTCCAGTGTGTCCGTGCCAGAATGTTATACTTTTGAAACTTCCTTAAAGGTCACCACAGAGAAAGAATGGGACTTGCTTTAGTTTCAGATGACTGTCCCCACATCTAAAGCAGTGATCAATTTGTGTGCAAAATAACATACTAGATTTTTCATAGCATATTTTGTCTTTAAGAAGTATACATCAAATTATATGTATGAGGGGCACCTGGGTGGCGCAGTCGGTTAGGCGTCCGACTTCAGCCAGGTCACGATCTCACGGTCCGTGAGTTCGAGCCCCGCGTCAGGCTCTGGGCTGATGGCTCAGAGCCTGGAGCCTGTTTCCGATTCTGTGTCTCCCTCTCTCTCTGCCCCTCCCCCGTTCATGCTCTGTCTCTCTCTGTCCCCAAAATAAATAAACATTGAAAAAAAAAATTATATGTATGAGAGCCTCTGAAATACATTCAATTCTGGACTAAAAGATAATTATTTCGTAATATCTTAAAACTAGTTAATAAAATCCTTAGCTTTCAAATAAACAAATCTTGATGTTTAGAGTATCTAAAATCACAGGTCCTTCCCAAGTGTTCTCTCCCCTAATCTTAACTAAAGTCACATGGAAAATAGAACTTAGGTTATTCTTAGCCAGAATAGAGATGAAAAAAAAAGTTTCATTTTGGCCTCTGATTTTTCAGGCAACAGTTAAGTTAATATACCAAGATTTCAAAAAGCCACATAGTATTCTGGGTGTTTCGCTTCAAATAATTGTTATTACCTCAAATAAAATAGGATAGGGGATGGGATAATAGAGATTTCCAGATACGCAAGAAGGAATATGCTTTTTTTTCCCAAAAGCAGATCCATCGCCTCTTACCCCCCAATTTTTCTTAAATTTCTCCATGATTTCAGGGTCATATATAGAAAGAGTTTTATTGGTCCCTAAACTCTTGAGTTCTTTTTGTCTTTTTTTTTTTTTTCCTGGACTTGAAGTCTGTTGATGTAAAGAAGTGCATTCCTTTAGAAGCAGCAGACAGTGGTAGAATGATCTTAACTGTTTCCTTTACTGGCATATGATTTGCAGTTTGTTGGTAAGAGTTTGTCCTTGGGCGGTTGTTTTGTGATTTTTTTTTTTTTCAAGGCTCACATTTTTAAGTTTGTAGAGTAAAACACTTCAACAAAGTGGAGTGCCTAATCATAATTAATGGACAACATCTGAAGATTTTTTCAAGTTATTTTTTAATGCAGTATATAAGATTTAACTTAGAATTTTGTCACTTTTGATACTCTCTCACTTAATAGATTAAAATTTAGCCATTTTTTAAAATAAAGATTTCTAAGTAAATCCTATTTTCACATTGGCTTCATTCGATGAGATTTAGATTCTGCCAGATACAGTGATTACTAATTAGAATGTTGGAAATTGCTTTGAAGAAATGTATTAAAATACTGGAAAAAATAGCAACCTTAAAACCATAATGCACTCAAGCTATCAGCAAAGGTAGTGTGAATGTTTATACATTTCTAGAGTCGCTGTTAACAGCCTCCTGTGGTTATGCTATATTTGGCTCCCCAAAGTCTTAGTAATTTGGCTAATTTTTTCACTAGTGCCATATTCCCTAATCTTTTTAACTTTAAATATGAGGTAATAATTCTGTTACCCTTCCTTGACCTTTTGACTCACAATGCCGTGGTTACTTCCTTGGTGAAAGGAATCCTTAGATAGAAAGACAGTTTCACTATGTGCAGTCCAATTAGTAATAATATTCAGAATGGGAAAACAAATGATTAATTATTGAAAATTGTTTAGGGGTGTATTAATAGTGAAGACTCTTCTTCTCCACCAGACTTGCATTTTAACTCTGCCATTTTCTAGCTGTGAGATAGCAGGCAAACTACTTAACTATTCTAAACCCCCAGCTTGCTTCTCTACAAACTAAGAGAAGGAACAGCACCTGCCTTATAATTATTGTGAGGCTCAGATGCAAATGTATGTAAAGTATTCACTGATGCACCTCGCATATAACAGGCATTCAAACAGTCTCATATTAGTCTAATCGACTAATATTACTAGTCTGCGGTCTGAGGGTTCTGCCATCCAGTCATTAGCAGTCTGTTGGGATATACCAGTGTTCTCTAGTAACCAGTTGGAATCTAACAGCAATTAGAAGATGGATAGGTTATTCCTAGATTAAATAGCGTATTCATGTTAGTGATTGCTTGGATCCTCATCACACAAGCTGTTACTACTGAGAAACGATGTTAAGGCTGGCTAAATTCTGAGAGTTGTCGGTTATTAACCAACCCCCAAAATTAACTACAGTGTATATAATAAGAAGAACCAGCCTCTAGTTACAAGTAGAAGCTATGAACAAAACGATAGATGAAAAATAATGGCATGAACCCTCAAAGTCAGTAAGCTAACGGAATATAGGACCTCAAAGGGACTTTGTGGTTTAAAGAATTCCTTGTGCTGACAGTAATGTTCAGTCACACGTGCCTATGTGTGATATTTTGGTAGTTTAAAAGGAAATGAACTAGAAAATGGACAGTCTAGATTTTCTTTCCTTCAATCAAATGTGTCATGTGGACAAATCAGCTGACCTCTTATTTTTATCTTTTTCCAAATGGGGAGAATTCTTGTTTCTTCCTTTCTAATCTAATAGTGGCATTATAAAAGTGGAAATGAGTTGATAATTGGGGGGCAAAGTATTCAACAAATCAGACTTACTATTTTACAATCAGTTTCTGAGAAATTTTGTTCGTTGCAGTGCTTTTCAGCGTGACTAGAACCATAACATGTACATCCCCACTGGGAAGTTACTTGCAGACTTGATATGTAATTGATGTAACTGAACCCTACTCTCTATACTGTAAATTATCTTCTTTTATGGGTTTCAGCCATTTTTGCTTTTAAATTAGTTATGATGATGCTAGATTTGTAATAGATAGCTAGTCACCTTTCAGTGAGGCTTTTCTGGGTCTCTAGGTTATTTGAGATAACTTTTTTAAAATTAGCTCTTGTCCTCCCTCTACAGGAGAATTTGCAGCCTTCAAGTAGCCACACCATCATGGCAACATCTACTCTTATTTCTTAAGTCTTGTGTTCGTACAATTTGTTAACATCAAAACACAGTTCTTCTGTTCCTCAACTCTTTTTTTAAAGATACAGAATTTTCAATGCATAAGCTGGTGTGGAACAGAATGGAATTTCCCATCCAACAAAAGAGGGAAGAATGTTTTAGGAACCAGAATTCTCTGCTGCCAGTGTTTCTTCTTCAACACAAATACCACGTGCATACAAGTCTGTCCACTCCCAGGAAGGAAGAGGAGAAAGCCTGAGTTCTGACCTTTTGGTGGTCAGGCATGATGGAAAGGAGCTGCTGCTACAGCTTGGGAGATTGGCTGTGGAGAGCCTGCCGATCAGCTCTGCCCTTCTAACCGCCAGATCCGCGTGTGGCTGGTCACCTGACGGGGCAGTTTGCAATCGCCAAGCATCGTTCTCTTTCCTGTTCTGGGATTTTGTCGCGGAGCTCTTTCCCCTAGCCACCACCGTTCATTTCTGAGGGATGGAACAAAAATGCAGCATGGCCTTTCTGTGTGGTGCATGTCCAGTCTTTGACGCATTTTTATCAAGTGAAGCTGTTTTATTTAAATGGAGAACGAGAGGTGAGGACGAGATCCGTGTTGGTGTAGAGGAAAAGGGGATGCTGCATCTTTTTCCTGACCTACTGGGTTTCTGGCCTTTGTTTCCTTGCTCACTGAGGGTGTCTGCCTAACCGCGCAGGCTGGGACGTGCTGGCACACATTGCCTTCTTTTCTCACTGGGTCCAGCAATGAAGACAAGTGTTGGGGATTTTTTTTTTTTCCTCCACAATGTAGCACATTCTCAGGAAAATACAGTTGATATCTTCCTCCTAAGCTCTTCCAGTCATCAAGTACTTATGTGGCTACTTGGTCCAGGGCACAAATGCCATGGCGGTATCTATCTAATTAAAAGCCTACAAAACTGCTTGATAACGGTTTTGAATGTGAGACATTTATGTAATTTAAATGTAAGGTACAAGTTTTAATTTCTGAGTTTCTTCTATTATATTTTTATTAAAAAGAAAATAATTTTCAGATTTAATTGAATCGGAATAAAATAATACTTCCCGCCAGAATTATATTCCTGGAAAATTGTATTTTTGTTATAGAAACAACTTTTAAAGAAAGATCGTTATCCTTTTCTCTACCTAAATATGGGGAGTCTTAGCGTAATGACAGATATTTATAATTTTTAAATTAATGGTACTTGCTGGATCCACACTAACATCTTTGCTAATATCTCATGTTTTCCTCCAACTTATGCCTACACTACATCCTCCGTCCTCTTTCCAGTCTTTATCTGGAATATGCAACCGAGAATAAAAATGGTGGTGTCTCCATTCATTCTCCTTCTTCCTTTTTTCCCAAGCCTGGTCTTCAAAAGGTCGGGTAATTTGGCAGCTGAGTTCTTAGTAGAGAATAGAGCAATTTTAGGTGTATTGGGACTGAGGGGAGGATGCATGAGGCCTAACAGCAGTTGTTATTATAGAAAGGGCTGCTGTAGTACCAAGAACCTCATCCTTTGTCTTTGCATAAGTGGAAAATATAATCTACTCGTAGCTTCCTTTGGCCTTTACTAAACGGTGGTATAATTGCAGTAGTAACAAAGAAAGTAACTCTGGATATATTTATTAATGGCAAATTAATGACAAATCCAGCGTAGAATCTCTTGTCAGCATTCAGGAATGTAAATCAAATCAGACATACTTAGCACAACCAAGCTATGAAGCCAAGGACCTTATGGAAATTAGGACCTCTGAAATAAATCAGGGAATTAGAAATTGGTATTTAAACATTTCAAATTGTAACTCACTCCACTATCTATCTTTCAGCCTGTTAAGCTCACTGCCATTCGATGTTTTTTGCTAAAATACCTGTATTCAGGGGAAGGCCTACTGAAAACTCCACAGACTGGTAGAAGGTTGTCCTAGTAAAATGGGAAGTATCCTGGAGTTATTGATGAGTTTGAAAAGCAACGTGTTTATCTTAAGTCCTACATGAGCAGAGCAATATCTTACAGAATTCAGAAATGGCAAAGATTCTTGTTGATCTGAACAGCATCTTGTGTACATAATTTTGCTTCTCTTCTAAAAGCATTGTTTATTTTTCTTTTTAAATACGTCCCCATCCATGCTCTTAAGCTGGTTGGTGTGTTCCCTTTGCCAAGATTGGAGAGAGCTGGGCTGGAAAAGTAGGCCTGTCCTGCTGAGCAGGTAGAGCCCGCCGGAGGAGGCCTGGCCGCATGACTCTCCGGTGGCGGGAGCCAGCACAGCACTAGTGATGGAGGAAGCTTAGCATTGGAATCTTCAAAATAAAATTCAAGGTGATACACGTTTTTCTTTCCATCCTATTTAGAGTAGGTTGCTGTCTCACTTGAAAAGAGGAAACAGACTTGATCTCAGATGAAGCTGTGCCCAGAAGCCAGGCTCAGGGTGTTCTTGGGAGATTTTTATAGCGCCCTTAAAAAGTAAAAATGAAATTTTAATATTTCTGTTCCCTTTTTTCCATCTCTAGTTTACAAATGACATGATAAAGGGGTTTCCTCTTACTTTTTGATGCTTAGACTACAGATAGACTTGTTGAGCTCCTAAGAAGATACAAGGAAGAACTCCTTGTTTGTGCAAAGCACTTTATGAATAATTTTGTACAGATAGTGTGTGGCTGCTTCACTGACTGTCTTGTAAGGTTGTAGTTAACCTGTCTTTTCTGTAAAGTGGCTGCGGTGCCTTCTATAGTGTATTTTATTTTGGGTAAGGAAAGGTGAAGCCTTCTGAAAAATTTGAGAGCAAACATAAAAGATTGTTTCAAAATATGTAGTATTCTTGATGGACTTTTTTGTCATCAAACTGGAGTGTAGAGTTTAGACTTTTGCCACTGAAATAACATTGACCAAAAAACTTAGAAAAGGGATTTGTGAATAGAAAATCCAGTGTGACCATTCGTATTTATATGCACCTTAAAAGAAGATTCTGTCCAGCTGTCAAATTCTGGTTCCTGAACATCCAGTCCCTGATTGCACTTACGATCTTGTAGGATGTACTGGAGCGTCCTAGAAGATAAAACGCCATGTAAAGCATGTATGTTACATTTATGTTGGTGTTGGAAGAGAAAGAGCATATTACATAGTTCTAAAGAGGTAATCAAGGCTTCAACACTGTCAACCAGAAACTCTGTAAATATTTCCTAGATTCTCCTTTGGTGCAGTCCCAGCTGTCTTAGCACACGATGTTCTCTTTGAGTCACCAGGCAGTGCTGGGGCTGCTGGATCCCCTCCCAGGCCCCCACTGCCCCTCCTCTGCACTCACTCCCCAGCCTTGTGTGGACCCCGTCTAGCTTTAGTTTGAAGCACATTGCAGGGTTCAGGTGACCTCTTCAAAAAACTACCTCCTTAGAATGAGGTAATGAATAGTTATTTATTTTAAAATATGAAAAGTCGGGAGCTCTAGAACATGAAGATGATTTAAGATTTTAACTTTTATGTGTACTTGTATTTGAGCACTCTCATTTTGTCCTAAAGGGCATTATGCATTTCAGCAGTAATACTGAAAAATGTAGCTCAGAGTTTCTGATTATTATTGCAGGTGGTGCCAGAATCCGTTCAGGGGTGCGCTTCAGAATCTTAACCTTAAGTCAGTTGCATGAAATTAGATAGTTACGGTAACGGTTCACTAACAGTGATACACTTAATTTTCAGTAGGCTTGGCAAGACAGTACATCTTCATAAAGAGTTAGCCGCAGCTTCATCACATGCACAGATCCTCCTGTAGAGAGACTGCCCAGCGAAGAGGGTGGAATGATGCCCCCTGATCCTCTTCTTTGTCTGAGTTGGCATCGTTAGCACTAGAATATCAGCACCTTGGGACTAGCAGATTCCCACCATTAAGGCTATTTAAAAAAACAAAAACAAAAACAACAGTAACCAGACATGGAAAGTTTACTGTGAGTATGACAGCAGATAGCTTAGGGGTCATACACTGAAACGGTGTAGATGAGGCTCTAGAAAAATACCTTGACAATTTGCCAAATGATCTTTACTGTGCCTTCACGATGCAATAAAAAAAGCTAAAATTTTAGCAGAAATCAGTGATATGTGAAGAGAGCAGCCACTCTGGTCTAACTCAGCTGTGTTAATATTTTGTAGAGCGCAATGTAGACCGCAAAGATCAGTGCACTCGCGGGTTTATAGCCGAAATCACATTTAAAAAATGAGAAAACACACAGGTAAATTTTCGGTGAATAAAATTATTTTTTTAAAGCACGTAATCCCTAGTAGAGTCAGATATATTTATCACATAGAGCAAATAGGTTGAAAATTATAGTTCAGTGACATTTCTAGAGAAACTTTTTCTACTCCAATAGGTTCTTCAAAGCATGGAACTTTTATATAACAGAAACGTTTGACAGACATTTTAAGGAGTTGCTGTCGTTTGGGGTTGGAAATAATATATGCTGGGCAGCAGTCCCTTCTCAAGAGTGAGAGGGAGGATGCTAGTAACATAGAGGACGGAATTTGATTTTATCACTTTCCAGAGTACTGCCAACCTGAACAGGGATTTTCCAGAGTTTAAAATGTAAACTGGCCTCCCAGGACTTGTTTGCAAATTAAGTGGGGCTGTCCTGGTCATGCTGTTCGGGGTGCCACGGGGGGCCCCTCTAGGAGGGGGCATTACCAGTTGGGGACGTGGCCGATGGCTGTGAACTGGACACACTCCGTGGTGTGCATTTTGTGTCTTGTTTTCATTTCTTGCCACCCCCAGGAAAGGCACTGTACTGTCTCCAGCAGGTTCTCTAGATGTTTTACTAGGTTGTAAATGCCCATAGGCTGTTGTACTCTGGTACGTATGTACTATGATGCCCATGGGCTGTTGAGCCCCAAGGAGTGCAGTAGGATCTCTGCCTGATGTGTACATTGACCAGAGGAGAGGGAGGCAGCCAGTGTATTGCTAGCTCTGATAAAATTGAAAATACTGGGAAGATTTTGTTTAATCAGCACACTAGAGAGTAAGCTTTGTTTTGTTGTTTTCAGATAACTTATTTTCACTTCTGTTTGGGTAAAGATATTGAAATTGAAATTGACTCCTAAATTTTGCCAGTGGCGGAAAGGGTAATTGATGGTTTCTATCAGGATTTTTAAGGTAGAGGAGGACAGAAACGTTAAGTCCCACAATCTTAAAGTACGGCAGCAGTGCTTTATTTTAACACGCATCGGGATTGTTCGTCCTCACCTCAAAAAAGTGATTAGGTAGATCTTTAATTTCAGCATCCACAACTTCAGCTGTTAATTTTTTAATCCTTTTTTATTTAATTTTTTTATCCTTTGACCCCTTCTACCCAACTGTTCATTTAGTTTTATTAATTAGTAAATTAGTTTTATTAAAATGTTTAATTTTATTAAAATGTATAATTCTATTTAACAGAATTCTGTTCTAATTGTAGTGCATGGGGACACAGCCAGTGTATCCGTGTGTGTGTGTGTGTGTGTGTGTGTGTGATGGGTTTGTGTTTTAAGGGTTCTGTAGATCGAAGTACTCTTGGAAAGCAGCCGAAATGTTTGTTCGTGTTAGTCCCGAACACAGGACTTGGGCATCTGCCGCTCTGCCAGGCTGGGCACGTGGCCCGCCACGAGCAGCCAGCTGTCATCAGTCTGGGGAACTGGGCGGCGGATTCACCGGAGAGACGCGGCAGAGGGCTTCTGCTTACAGGGGCCAAGATGGGGTTAAAAGTTGCTTTGGTACCAGTTTTGTGTTGAAGATGATTCTGTGTTGCGTTTGTGTGTCAAGCCTTTTTTAACCCACTTGGAGTTTGGTGGAAGAAACTTGAGACTAGCATAAGCAGCAAAGCTCACGGAGTAGGCACAGATGTAGAGAACATGGACCAAAATGGGAGGTGGGAGGGTGTGGGAGTAAGTTGGGGGCTAGGGCAAAATTGATGTGACGGTGGGAAATAAACTATAATTACCTGAAATAAAACGTAAGAGTGCAATAAGTGTGCTTTTTATTCTAAGCTGTGAACAGTTTTTTAAAAGAAATTATTCCTTCCTACTAACATTTGTGTATGTTCCATAGCTGATTAAAACCGGCTATGTAAACATATAATGCCTTTTTATTCATGTTAATTACCAACATAAGTGGCTAACCTTTATGTCTTATTTATCTTCATGTTCTAATAGTTTACATACAGGAGTGCGTATGCGTGCGTGTGCGTGTGTGTATGTGTATGTGCTGTATTTCCCTCCATTTGGAAATGCATTCATTGGGTCCTCTGTCCTTCCTGTGGCCACGCCACAGGTTATGTTCTTGATTTGGCCTTCGTGATATTGCCTGATTTGAAGGACTCTATCACAGTGCTGTATTTTTGTGGTGTTCTCATTTGTTAGTTGTACACGCTGACCCTTTCCTCACTCAGCAGTAGCTTTCTTAGGAGCGTACAGCTGATGAGGGGACTGAATTTGACCATTCCTCGACATACGTCCCTTTGAATTCTAGTTCAGTACTTAGGATTGCTCTTTGGTTTAAACCAGGAAAAAGGAAATCACCCCGTTGTCATTCACTTCTTGGTTTGAGGACAATTCTTCTAGAAAGGAGAGGAAAGGGAAATCCTTCGTGTTTTAACTGCAGTGAATTAATGGCTCCTGGTTTACCACTCCAGACCTTACGGCGATTCACACACACATTCCTCTCTCTCTTGCTGCCAAAGGTTTGTTTGGCTTTAGTTCACTTCGGTTCCACTCAAGCATTGAAAAGGTTCTCATGGAGTCTGGGGTGTGCCCAGTGAAAAAAAATGGGGACTTTTAAATTGTCCACAGACCTCTTTATACCTGCTTTGCAAAAATTACAATGGAGTAACTATTTTTAAAGCTTATTTTTCAATTCATAAAAAAGACATTTATTTTCAGTCAAATGGATAATGTCTCCCTCTTGTCCCTCAATCCTCAGTGTTTGCTTGAATTTTTTTTTTTTTTTTTTTTTAATCTTCCCCATACCCACTCCTTGATACTTTGGTTCTTTCCTGCTCAGGTCCCTTCATTTGTACTTTGGAGTTTTTCTCATGTAAATTTGTACAATGGAAAATATTGTTCAGTTTGGATAGAAAGCATGGAGAATTAAAAAAAAAATAGCTGAAATTCAGATTGAAGAGATTTATTTCTGTGTAAAGTTATTTAAAAACTCTGTATTATATAAAAGGCAAAAAGTTCTATGTACTTGATGTGAATATGCGAATACTGCTATAATAAAGATTGACTGCATGGAGAAGTCTTTATCAAGACTCTTTTTCTAGCACTATCCCATCCAGTAACGTAAGTAGTTGGGGTTTTGACAGTACTTCCAGGCAATGCGGAGACCCGGAGATGTGCGTTTTGTTTCATACATGTCAATCCCTGCTTGGTGAGTAGAAGTTACTTGTATGAAAAATATTTTTAAGTAGTCGCAATGAATGCCTGGTACATTGTACCGACTGCACTAGGGTGGTGGGGACCGCCTTTTGTCCGCTGTTGGTGGTGACCCTCAAGTATGTTACGGTGCTGTGAGCTGACTGCTGCCCTCCAGTGGCTCAGCTGAAGTGTGTGCAGTAACTGAGTCATTGAAGGAATCAGTCTGGAGAAGTTCCCCTTGAATTGTATAGGTTTCCAATTTTTCTGACACAACTTCCAAAACATTTTGCGTGGGAACACAGAATGTACTCATAGACATGTATTTGAAACTATGCACTTGTGTTTTTTAAAAATGCTAGTTACCCCAAACAGTTCACTTTGTGCATGATTTCACGACCTGAAGTCTGAATGACTCCTAGAATAACTTCAGGTGATGTCAGATAACTGGGCAGTTTCCAGAAGAGAAGTCAACCATTTTAAAACTTCACCTGGAAACCCTATGTCTGAGATTATTGTGAAGGAACAGAAATATCTTCAGGTTGGTACCTTATTTGAGGAATCTGGTTTGTTTTTCATGCCCCTCCAGCTAATCATAAAATTCTGTGGAGACCACTATTTTCTGTAAACTATAGCTTTCTCATCTTAAAAAAAGAAAGTTCTGTAATACAGATATTATAGAAACTTTTTTTTTAATTGCTTTTTTTTAATGTTTATTTATTTAATGTTTATTTATTTAATGTTTATTTATTTTTTGAGAGAGACAGAGACAGAATGCGAGTGGGTTTAGGGGCAGAGAGAGAGGGAGACACAGAATCCGAAGCAGGCTCTAGGCTCTGAGCTGTCAGCACAGAGCCCGATGCGGGCTTGAACTCACGAACTGTGAGATCATGACCTGAGCCGAAGTCGGACACTCAACCAACTGAGCCACCCAGGTGCCCCGAAACTTTTTTTTTAGAAACTCATTTTAAAGTAAACTTCACAGAGGATTACAACAGAGTGATTGGGGCCTTATGTTTTAAGAACGTATTATGCTACTAGAAATTTTCCTTAAAACTTGGTCTAGAATGTGAACGCTTTCATTATTGTGATAAAATTCTGTCACAAAGCACTCTACCACACCAGTTTTGAGACTTTATCAGGGGCTGTGATAATTGGACCTGCTGTCTGGATTATGTAGTACTCCTAGGCTGATAAATGCCAGTGCAGAAGGAGCTCCTAAAGATAATTCTGGTCCAGGGGCACCTGGGTGGCTCAGTCGCTTGAGCATCCAATTCTTGCTTTTGGCTCAGGTCATGATCTCAGTTCATGAGTTCAAGCCCAGCATCAGGCTCTGTGCTGACAGTGCAGAGCCTGCTTGAGATTCTCTCCTTCTCTCAAAATAAACAAAAAAAAAAGAAAAGATATTCTGGTCCAGGTCCCCTCATTGCCAGATACTCAATAGGAATCCCCAAGGATGACACAGCCAAGACTCCGGACTTTTGTTTTCAACATCAGCAGCATGCGCCATTTTCTACATGTATGTGTGTGTGTACGATTTTGTTATGGTTTAATAGCTGTAACAAAATTTGGACAGAAATGGGTGTTCACTCCGTGACAGTGAGTTTGTAGCAAGAAGTGGATGTTGTGCCAGGCATACTGCACTTGCCCCTGCTGTCTTTGCCGGTTGGTCAAGCCCCTGCTCAGGTACGTGACAAGAGGCGGAGGCCTGGCTGCTGGGATGGGCAGTTCCTGTTTCCCCGCACCATACGCTGTGGCCCCACTGGTGCTTTCTAGGAGGTGGCAGCGGCAGACAGCCAGGCCGACCTCCCACAGAACAGTTTTAGGGGCACACAGGACCCAGAGGACTTCTGTACCTTCCCGTAACATGCGTACAACCAGGGGTCCTTACACAGTACCTCCCTTGTGGTGTTTGTACTCAGGGTTCCATGGGAAACGTTATAAATTTGTGTTAAAATTTGACGCTCTCTGTTGCCATCAGTCATTTCTTCACCACCTGCCTTTCCTTTTGTGAAGGTCCATCTTTTCCCTCCATCTAGCAGGCCATACCCTAACACTCGGAGTATGCATATACGGGAATGTTTGGCGAGTTACAGGAAAGTTTGAGGCTTTCCTATAAAATTGGACTGGGATTCAAGCGTCACCATAAAGTTGGCTTGGACCCAGTGGTCTAGAAATAACAGTTGCTTACATTTAGAGATTATTTCCTTCACAGCAGATGTGGTTCTAGAGGCTTCATGTGCTAACACGTTTAATCTAATCCCTTTTACAAATGTGGAAGTTGAAGAAGAGATCAAATAAGGAATGCACCCAAAGTCACATCAAATAAATGGTAAAGCAATGAGTCAGATCCAGCAAGTTTGACCCCAGACTGAACTCCTGAAGCACTGTGCCAGTTTTTCAAATGGAGTCCCCTTCGTGGGTGGTAGAACCTGGCTCGGTTAACCATTTTAGAATAAGAGAAAGTAATGTGTATCACAGGTAAGTACTGTGTCATAAAACTTTTGGATTATACACACAAGCATATATTCTAGGCCACCGTGTAAAATTAGCGAGTAGGTCATGATCAAAAAGGCTTACACAATGCTGTACTGACTCTCACAAGCTGACTCGGCCTAGAGCCAGGCTGGCGAGCCAGGATCTGAACCTCAGCTCTCAATTGTGTGAGCTTGGGCAAGTTACCAATCTATAGTTCAATGTCCTCGTCTATAAAATGTGGACTTAACATGTGCAAAGTGTTTGCCACAGTGCCTGGCCCATAGTTAAGCCATAAGCTTTCTCTAACTATATAGCCATCGCTCACATGTACGTCACGCTTTGATACCTTCTCCTACTTTATTTTCCCATAAGCTGTACAGCTGCCCCCTGAACATGGGTTTGAACTATAATGGTTCACTTATACATGATTCTTTTTGATAAAGACAGTACAGTACTATAATGTGTTTTCTGCTTTTTTTTTCCTCTAGCTTTACTGTAATACAGTATGTAACACATACAATGTGCCAAACATGTTAATTGCCTGTTACCAGTAAGGCTTCTAGTCAGCAGTAGGCCATTAAGTTCTGGGGGAGCCAAAAGTTATACCTGGACTTTCGACTCCACAGGGGTGGCACCCCAACCCCTGGGTGGTTCGAGTCAAATGTGATAGGGTGGAGGCTTTTTAAAGTTAACTTTAATTCAAATCAAGCAACTCTGATTTTTAAGGCAAAGAGGTTAATGGGATTATCTTGAGTTCAGGGTTACAGATGAGTACGGATCAATAAAACACTGTGAGGGGGAGGGAGGGCGCAGAGAGAATAAAAATTAGACCTAAAAAGTACAGAGAAGAGATGGCTTTTTAAAGATCTTACAGACTTAACAGCTGAGACCATGCCCTCTTCTCCAGTTAAGTGAACACAAAACGAGAAGAAGTGTCTAGCAACAGGCTCTTGACTACTGGAGCTGGAGGGGGGAGGGGGAAACTGTTCCCCTTGCTTCAGCTTCGCTGCCTTTGTGCCTACTCCTGACACCTGAGGACCAAGGATCAC